ATATATATATATATATATATATATATATATATATATATATATATATACACACACACACACACAGCTATGGTTACAGACTCCCTCTTCGCCTCCCTATCGCTCCATATGTTGTAATTCAGTTGCCAATAAACAAGTTACAGATGAATTTTACTGATCAAATTATATAAAAAACCATTGGTCCAATCATGACAAAACCTGCAGGATACGTACACAAGAGCACCTGAAACACACCCTGAAGGTTTACTTCAAATTGACTACTAGGTGGGGCTACAAATGCAACAAAAAAACAATTACACAACACATCGCACATCACATAAGACTATAAATGAGTCAAATCAATTGTTTTGTCCAATCAAAACATACTCACAGGCTAGGTTTCATGGAAGTGTTGAATGGAATGTGTAAAGCTATTTTGAATAAGGGGCGCCACTAGTTCTAAACATGTGGACGGTCCTGGCGCAAATCAGGCTGAAATGCTGCAAACATGGTCATGATGAAAGAAGTATGTGAGAGGTCTCAGTCCTTCTTGAGACAGAATTAAACCAACCGAAGGCACTTTGCTCAGCTTTGTGAAGCCCGAAACCCGCTCGCTGCTGCCTGTGGCTTTGATTTTTTTAATTTGTAAAACATTCTTTCATTCTAAAACATTTATCAAACAATACTAATCCTACTTGGCTGACATCACCCACCCATCATAACATCTTCATCTTTTAATAATAGGTGCAAGTAACTAAAGCATAACAAATCAGCTAGACATCTGCCCAAATTTACGGCATGTACAGTATGAAATATTCTGCCCAGTTGTCTCTTACAGTTAAAAGATAGAAGCATTGAATCATTGTCTGGTTCCCGGTAGCACATAGAAAAGAGTCCAGATGAATGAGAGCTGAACGTGTATTTTTGGTTCATCATTATTATATCTCACACCTTGAGGAGGGTTGGGCCCTTTTGGTTTTTTAATGCTTTCAAAGCACCTCAGAGAATCTACTAGCTTTGCATTTGTCAATATTAATAGTCAGTGTTTCAGGGAGGTAGCCGGGCAGTGAATATGCACGTGTACTTACATCTGCTACCTGAACCACAGGCTCAGGCTGGTGGGTCGGCGATCCATTTCTAAAAAAAAAAAAAAAGGATGAAAAATGTACCTCGTTAGAACGACCATGTTAGAATCTAAACATCACGCGTGTTCCTCACCAACCAAAACCACTCAACTACTATGTGGATTCCATGGTAGATTCAATTCAAGCAGCACTAATCATGAAGCCTTGGCAGGTTCTGAGAAACACTCGTACCCTTCTAGCACTGGGAAGCTGTTGGGGGTGCTGTTGAAGCCAGGAGACGGGGAGTTGGGGACGTATGTGACCTCCGGCCAGGGACAGCACTGCAAGGGAACCACACTTTTGTTATTGTTGCCTCCGAATAACTTCAGAAATAAATGTCTGCTGCCACCAGTTACAGCTTTCTCTTACATTTAAAGCTACTACAAGAACTTCTCATCTTGTGTTGATCTTGGCAGTCCCTGTGGACAACAGTGATAGTGTTTCCAGGTATCAGAGTCCCTTTGGACTGCAGCAGGGTCTGTTTGATGACTTTTGTCTTTATCTAATCACGCATCCCTTTAACACATTAGCAATATGCTAACCTCTGTCAGGATTGTGGTTTCATAGGAGGGCTGATACTTTTCTTTTTCCTGTGGCGCCCTCTTCTCCATCTTCTCCCTGTCAGTCTTCTGCTTTCTGTCCGCACCTTTAGGCTGAGACGGGTCATGTGGGAGTCATTTAGGTGGTGGTCATACATAACAAAATTTTTGCATTGCAGTACATCGATGCATTTTCACCTTGAAGACTTTGAACTGGCAGGAGGCCGAGTGGAGGTGTTCTGTATACTCTTCATTCTCGTTCTCTTTAAACGTGTCTATCTGGATTCGGAAAGGGACGCCCTTTTCCCCTCCATGCTTGCGCATGGTGAATTCTGTGCTGATGCAGTGTACCTAAAAAAGGAAAGGAATGGAATATCCAATTTAAATCTGTACAGGAATGACAACAAAAAACAGAAGACTCAGGTCAGTTAAATCGAATAAAAAATAAAAAACAGGCAAAACTGTATTAGTAATTACTGCCTGCAGAATGACATTATTCTGTTTGTGCAAAATATCAAGTGAACTGAATGAGCACACTACATGTTAACAAGCTTAGCTCTGTGATGCCAAAGTGATTCAAATTGCCTCAGATTACCGACGTCGTCTTTTTAATGAATGAAAGTAATTAAGAAAAACAAAAGTGTTGTCCGTCATGCTACCTGGATAAAAACTGAGGTTCTTTTTGATGGGTCCCAAAGGAACTCCACAGTGTTAAGCTGAGTAGGGTTAGCCCGGGGGTCGATTATGCCGACGGACATGGGGATATCTGCAACGGATCAACGTAAAACAGGCTGTTATCAAAAGAGTTCTTGACGCACACCATCCTCTCCATCGAACTGCCATTGTCTAAACCCTGCACTTATAGTTCAGTCAACATCCTGAATTCATCCCAAAACTACTGGATGGTTAACATGCATACAAGGCTGCACAGCAACAAATCCTTCCACACACAAATCCAATACATTAGATAAGAGCCAGAATCTTTGGAGCCATCAAAGTAGACCGGCATTGTGTCATTTAGTGCTCACCCAGGTCGAGGATGCGATCTCCGGGCCTGTTCCAGCGCCAGCCCTCCAGCTGCTGGTGCTCCGTGTACTGAAGTCGTCTGTCATGAAACACCACACGGATGATGCTCTGAAATTTAATGAGATTCATTTTTTTTTTTAAAGAATTAGGCAGGTCGTGTTAATGCTGCTGAAGCTAATATGTGAATACTGGTTCGTCCCAGCAGTCCTGTGCAAATATGTTGTATCGATGATGGTACGTGTTTGATTCTTACCTTCACCATTTTATCAGTGATTTCCGGAAGTTCCCCAATTTTCCGATTGTCAAGCATTCTAATTTCATAGGACTGCCCTGCAATGATAAATCCATGTCGTGAAGGAACATTCACAAATGAAATCCAACCAGTGTAGCTGGTTGGATTTCCTGAGAAAAACAAGGACATATAGCTGTTAAACGTCCTTGTTTTTCTTATATTTCTCTTGTTTATTGTATATATTTCATATGTGTGTATGTACGATGAGAGTAATGTGTAACCGGAGTCAAATTCCATGTATGCGCACGCATACATGGCCAATAAAGCCGATTCTGATTCTGATTTACATATATGTCACTTATGTCAAAATATACCCCTAAATGACTCACAAGTCAAACTAACAAACAGGCTGAATGACCAGAAAAGATTGCATCACTATGTTGGTGCCAGTGTATTAAAAACAGACCACATTGTAAAATATTTCCATTTAGATTTACCACCCTACCCCTAATTTCCACTCTCATTAAATTTGTCTATGAAGATAAACAACCAACCAGGTAATAGAATATCTAAATGTCAAAAGGCAACTGAGGGACGAATTCACAAAGAATGGTTAGCGGCCACTGATAGCACCATGAATTGTGCACCATTTGCGATCTACTCGTTTTAAAGTATTATTCTAAAAGATATTACACTAATGATGATAAAATGAAAACATGGCCATTAACTTTTGCAGCCGAGTGCAATTGCCCTTTTTTTGTGTGCGATTTCAATTATCCATGTTGCAAAGTATAAGTGCACTTGAGGCCAATGCGTCGGATGTGAGGGGCTGGACTCAGCCTGAGCCAGGAACATTGAGTCGATCAGGGCCGGCCCATAAGAGATGTGCAATTTTTGAGTTTAATACCTGCAGCGATCCCAGCGCAGAAGAAACAATACGTTAGTAAGTTGTATGCATTTATGGCACAACTGCCTTTGCCTTCTGTCGCTGCATCCCAAAATAACTAATTTTAGCGCTTCAGTTACCACCAACTTTCTAAAGAGGCTAATAACTTCACTGTAACTGCATGCTGCTATTAGCACTGATCTTTGTGAATTGGACTATTTTCGCAATGAGGCCCATTTGAACAGAAAGGGGCCTATTTAACACTAATTGTATGCATATTACCTCATTTAAATGATTGCGATAGCAGAGGAGCACTTTTGGCTTGGCAGCATATTTAGGGGTTCCATTTCACCCTTAACAGGTGCTTTGAGAATCACACGGTTTGTTTTTGTCATATTTGTACAGGTTTAGCAGCCGCACAACCCATATTATCCTTTTGTGAATTAGCCCAGGAAATTGATACATTTACTGATAAAGAGCAGTGTGGCAGGGATCCCGACGCTGACCTTGGTTGAGGTAGGTGAGTGTTTCATCGTGCAGTTTAACGGCTGGCGAGGTAGCTGCACACAGAACATACTGAAAGGGAAGGATCTTGTTGTCGCTGTCTGGAGGCAGGTTGGACTCCTCCTGTTTGAAGATGGGGAGGGCCAGCACGTCGCTGGAGAACAGAGACAAAAGAACAACGCTGTTGGTGAGCTCCCTCCCCCCAAACTGTGGGACACATTCATTGGACAACACTGGAGGCTGAATGCTCGGTTTATTGTGTTCGTCGGCTTTACAGTTCATTAGTTATATTGGAGGCAACGAGGGCACCAACACTACTAAATACCAAGTCAGTATCTCATAGCTCCTCTCAACAGAAGAATTTCAGGAACAAGCATGCACTTTGCAGCTTGCACAGTATCATTTAACAGAGCACTTAACCAGCCAAGAAAGGGCACAAAAGAGAAGGATCTCTGTCCAGCAAAGCAAAGCACTTGAGTCAGCGAAACCCGAAATGTATTACACATAATTGCCTTCATGAAAAACTGAGCAAAAGCGTCATAAATGTCTATTTGGACTTTAACCTCTTGAAAACGACCCCACAAAAAAAAACCTGCTGTGTGCAGATATATTTATATTGAAGTATCAGGAGTATGCTGCATAGTGATAGGATAAATCTAATGCCCCCACTCAAATTTCATCAAAGAGTGTTCTTTGACTGATAGTCACCAAGCTTTGCAGTTCATCTGCATGTGGTGATTCATTTTCCATTCAGTCGTCACTAAGTGCAGGCCTTCACATACAGCAGATAGATTTATACACAGAACATAAAACTAAAATATCACTTTGACATTAATTATTCAGACACCTTGACTCAGTGCTTAGTTAAAGCACCTTTGGCAGCGATTACAGCCACAAGTCTTCTTGGGTGTGATCCAACAAGCTCTGCACACCTGGATTTAGGGATTGGAGACAGTTTTCCAGGTTTTCACTGAGTAGGGCTTCCGTCTGTCTACTCTAATGTAAAGTCAGGAGCGTGGATTTTGCTTCTGAGGTTTCTCCCCACAGGATCTCTGGAGCTCAGCCAGAGAGACCATCGGGGTCTTTTGTCATCACCTCTCTTAACACTCTGAACCCCAAGCAGTTGAAGTCACATTTTACTCTCTGTCGCCTTGATTTTCACTGCAATATACAAGTCCTGTACCTCTATGGAAACAACACAACCATGGCTAGAAGTAGAGACAACTCAAAATGTCTTGTTTGCAGTTTAAGCCAGTTATAATGCCATAAATCATTAAAAAAAAAAGAAAGAAAAGAATGCAGGTTGAATTTCTTTGATATTATATTTTACAAAAATTGGAAAAGAATGGAATCTGATAATCCAATATTTAGGATACGGCTGCTTCGTAAAAAGGTGAAAAAGTGAAGGGGTCTGAATACTTAAGCCTGTCTGAGAGAAAATGTGAAACACTGCACTTTCATAAAAACACATTTGATAAGACAGAAAAGACAAATTCCTTATCTTTAAATAAGAAAGGTATCAAATACCTTTATACAGAATCTCCAATTAATTCCACATAAAAGTGACCAAATATGTTCTCTGCAAATGATGGAATTTTGAAAATAACTGTTAATAGATTATTAAAAATAAAAATAATAGAGGAACGAACTTCAAAGCAAATTCAGCTTTAGGTCAAGTGAACACAAACACAGCCGATATCTAAATATTAAGAAGGTAATAGTTTCAAAAACTTTAGATGGTGATGACTAAAGGAGGATTCACTTTGGGGTTAGAGTTATACGTTTCATATATCAAACCAGGTGACCATATTTTGGTGAATATCGATGTGCAGCACTATTAATGTCCAACAGCAGACCTAAAGAGCAGGTCTCGTACAGTACCTCATGCTGTATGCCCCAGCACCGAGCTCCTGGCCAATGCCCGACAGACTGGCATCAAAGTCCTGGACCAGTCCGGACTCGATCACCTCATCCGTGAGAGGCAGCTTCAGAGCCCACGCCATGGTGACGGTTAGCAGATCTTTCGGAGTGCAGTTACGGTTCAAACTTGCGCCAAGTTTCCCACAACCTTCCAATCTTTAGTGGAGAAAGTGAAATAAGAAGTTTATTTTTAATTGAACGTGGCTCCAACTTTAAAAATCGTAAAAAATAGAGCAACATGTGGATGTTTAACCGAAGAACATATCCAACAAAAAACAGGAGACAGGAATCAACTAGCAGTTGATTCAAGTGACAGAAACTTAACAGGTTGTTATGCTGAACAATGCAGAGCTGCTGAGGTAGACGTAATCGTTAACGTTTAGTGCCACCGTGCACTGATGCGCTGTTAAAATTAAAACAACCTGTGTAAAGCGATGCTATTTTTACTTTCTATTTAGTAAAATAGCGTCATCAAATTAAAGAAGCATCACATACCTTTAAGCGAGAGGATAGCTACTTGCTAACAGTGCAACAGTTTCATGCCATCATGTCGCGCTCCTTCGCCCCAGCACTAAAATAAACATGACGAGCTAACCACAGTTAGCTACATAGCCTGCCAGCTAACTTAGCGATAATAATGCTAGCTCTTCTTTGCCTCACTTATTGAGGATTCACGGGAACAAGTTGTTACCGATATACATAGAGACGCGTCAAAATTAGCTCAGACTCCTACATTTATGTGATAAAATGTCTTGCTTTTGTTTGTTTATCTAGCTTCGTTAGGGACAGGCGCTACTGTAATTTCCGTCTCTCTCTTCTTCGTGTTATTATGTCACAGTGCTAGCAAAGAACGCTGGAGCTCATTACCGCCACCCATCGGTCATGTCAGGTAAAACATGAGGTTGAAGAAGGGAGTTTCCTGATTTTAGAAGTGATATTTTACTTTTGAAAACAACCCATTTTTTATGGAGATCAGTAGTCACTCTCAACTGCAACCATTTCAAATGTTGAAATATATCAATACACAACAATCAGGAGTGATTAATAAAACCAGGGTTTATTTATCTGACAGAAAATGACAAAAAGCATCCAACTTCCCTTTTTCTCTTTTCTTGCAAAGACCTGAAGTCTTTATGTGCTTTGCAGAACAAATGAATATCATCTTATTATTGTAATTTAGCTCTTCTTTTCTCTATTGATAACTTAGTATATTAAACAATATTATACATTGGCCTCCCATATTGAACGGAAGGAAAAACATATATTGTAGCAAGAACTTTGCAATATTGCCATTTTGTATGTTTAGGTACAATGTATGTCCATTGCAAAATAGGCCCATTTCTTAAAAATTGTTCAGAAGGAAAATATGCACCATATAATTCACAAAATCGGGGGGGGGGGAAATTGGATTAATGCATATTAGCTTGTACATTTAAACTGCAGTATTTTACATTTTTTTCTGCATAAAAGTACATTAATCTTAGTGACAGAAGTCACTTGTTAAGTTGATGATTGCAATTTGGCCAGTACTGCTACATTTTGCAAAGCAAAGATTCTTGTTGTTCAAGAACATTAAAATGCAGAAATTAAATTCTCCCACATTCGTAAGTACTAAACCTTGCACTGTACATAAACCATTCGCATCCCCTTTACTTTCCCTACTGTCACTAAAGTGCAAAGAATTCCCATAGAATGACCATAGTTTTAGAAAATAACTTCATACTGCACATGCAAACACTCTTCTTACTGATTCAGATTGAAAGTCATTAACCCACAAAACCCTTCCTTGGCTCAACATATAATTGCATTTTTAGTAATTTGATTGATATTGGACTTAGTAAGAGTATCTAAAAACCTGGTGCTAATGTTTCTGACTGTTTTAAACTGCCTTCATAATAGTCCAATTAAGTTCCTGCTTTTAACATACACTTTATCGAACTTGAGATAAAAAAAAAATGCTGCAGAACCGTTGTTAACCCATTGAGGGAACAGTCACAATTGTGAATAAAGAGGAAACACAAAATACTCTCAGAGTATTATCAGCACATTAAACAGAAAGTGTAAAAACAGGACAGACTGTCGTGAATTCACACACGTTTCACCCACAATCAGTAACTCACAAATTAAACAAACATTATAAAATGCCCCAAAAAAGTTTACAGTTGTGGCGTCATAGGCAACAGCTGACGCTATAATTATATTTTGATAAGAACTTGTTGTCCGAGGAAAATCAAAAATTACTGTGACGCATTTAACGCCAAACAATAGGAAATTACTACAGATGTTAAGCTCATCTTTGTGATTATCAATAAGAAATATCAAAATTATGATTGTCCCAAAAAATTGTTGCAGAGTCAGGAGTCCATAGATAGCAACATCAGTTTTGGCATTAATTAGACAACAAATTCTGATAAAAATAAGATTATATGCTATTGCCTACTTTTAGTCGACAGAGGCTTTTTTATGTTTGCAAAGCTGCTCATGTAGTACAAATACTACATGAATATAAAATGAATGAGCGGCAAGAACTCTGAAAATATCCAGTGGCAAAAGCATGTTATTCAAATATCAGCGTAATATCACCCATCGTGACAAAGTGACAATTATGTGATTAAAATCAATGTGACTCAATGCACTGCCACGTATTATAATTCAGAGGTATAGCCTATAAAATCACTTGTATAAAATTTCACCAAATGTTTTTAAATATGACGTTAATATCGCTGTATTATCATCACTATATATGACAAAAGAACCATGCAGCCCACCACACAGGAGTTCTGTACACATGTACAGTCTTAAAATACAATATCAACCTTTTTTTTTTTTTTTAGTACTCTTTCATTACACTTGAATTATGTGTAATTTCCTTTATTTTCTATAAAAGTTCATACTCCTTAATGGAGTTTGGCTTTTATTTACAACACAATTCACAACTGTGTTGCTGTATTGAATGTTCGACTTCCAAAAAACGCATCCTCCCAGAATGAGGTCGTTACTGAACCTGGAAGACATTGATTTTGCTTGTGTTTTTCAGCGTCTGCCGCCGGTTACAGAACCATACTCGCACAACCTCTCGGTCGTAGTTTAGCTCTCGTGCAATTTCTGTAATCTCTTGACCTGTTGGCAATGCATTCTTTTCAAAGTAGGAGTTAAGAACTTCTATTGCCTGCGGTGTGAAACTCGTACGCCGCTTGCGTTTTTTGGATGGTTCGCCGCCAACAAACTCCATCAGATTCTGCTGGCCTTTCTGGTTCCAGTGCTCAGCCTCAGCCAGCCACTTCTCCAACACCGGCTTTAACTTCTGAGCACTCTTAGGCGTGATATCCAGCTTTTCAAACCTGCGTTACAAAAGTCAAATCATTTAATGCGAACACACACTGCATACCACAAAGAACCAGTTTGCAGGGAAGTAACTAAGATACAAAATATATTTTGGGTACTAGTCCACCAAGCTTTAACCAACCTATTGAGAAATGTCTCAGTATTTTGACTCTCTATATAATTATGACTCCATTGCTGTTCATATTAAAGTGCCATTTTCGGGTCATGAACCATTTGAACAATTCTTAAAATATATTCTCATAGAGGTCGGTATTGTTTCCAATAAATAAACGATATGAACAATGATTTCCTAACTTTCTAAATTTTATGTAGAATATCGCAAAAGCAAAGAAAATGTTTTTGAATGTTATCGTAACGTTATTTATCACAACAATCTTTTTCAAAAGTCATACATATCTCACTGTGATACATTCACTCCACTAAGCATGACTGCACTGACACAATGAGTAGATAAGTAGATGCTTGCATGGGTGCCTTAACTACATTGATGCTCTATTTGTATTACAATTGTATTGTGTGTGCATGCAAATCAAGTCAATGTTTGCACATATCAAATGCACTGTCTGCACACTTTAAAAAGAGAAAATAGTGTCGAATATTTTATTTTTTACAAAACATTACTTAAGAAAGCTGCCATAGGCAGGTAACATGAACAGGGGAGTAATTTACCTGCAAATGGCGGACTGGCTGTAAGCGGGACCCTCAGTTGCAGTTAGAGCCTGCCCTACTTGTGTCTGAGTAAGCCCCAATGACAGCCGACGGATTTTGAAATTCTTGGCAAACTCTCGAATCTCTTCCAGATTAATGCCTTCCTCGCTGCTGACTACCTGCTGGGGTTCTACAATTCAGGGGAATCTGGTTAAAAATAACGACCTACTTAAAATGGATCTATGTTTGGATATGAGAAGCAGGTGTACATACTGCCGACAAGCTGTCCCACTTTTACAATGTCTCCACAGGTGATGGGTACTGTCGAGGAGAGCGTGGTGGCATTCTTCAGTACAGACGGCTGAGGGGCGATGACAATTGGTGACTGACTGACAGTTGTTACTGAAGCCTGGGAGGAAACAGATAAATTATATAACCTGCAATGATGCAAATGACAAAGTTTAATCATATTTAAATACCTTCAGGAATAGCTAAAGATCTGCCAATTAGTTAGTAAGTCATTTTTGGTCTGTTTCATCTTTCAAGTGAAAAAGCAGAAGTGACTTAGTCCTTTCTGACCTCAAAACAAAATTCAGACAGATTTTTGTTGGTTACCTGTGTGATAGGTTTGGTAAGTGTTGGGGGAGCAGCAGCTTTGGGCATGACTGCAGCAGAAGTAACAACTGCAGATCCATTCCCCACTGTGGCAATAATCTGGCCCTGGGTGTTGAGAAGCAACTGTGGGGTGAGAGTCTGGACCTGGAGACCCTGGAGACCCTGCAGACCCTGCAGACCTTGCAGACCTTGCAGGCCTTGCAGGCCTTGCAGACCTTGCAGACCATGCAGACTATGCAGACCCTGCAGACCCTGCAGACCCTGCAGACCCTGTAGACCCTGTAGACCCTGCAGACCCTGAAGGGTGGGTGTCGCAGCCGCTCCAGCTAGAGAGGCTGGGTTCAACAGAAGAGGGAGGGTTCCTATGACCTGTAAATATTGTTTGAAATTGTTTGAGAAACACGAATAATTGAATGTAATGCTCTGTGATAGTTCTCGCTTACCAAAGCCACTTTCAAAACATTCAACAACCTGTGAAGTACGGCCTTTTAGCAGTCCTCTTGGAATAAATGTCTTTTAAGATTAAACACTACACCACTAACTCAGATGAGCTGCACTAACGGAAAGATTGATTCATGGAACTGTTTGAGAGGGCAAATCAGTTTTCACAGAAATTGGCTCCACTGACTTGAAATAGCACTGCTGACTGATGTTAACTTGAGGCTGTTTTTTTTGTTATTCCCGTTTAGAAACACAACACAAAAGCATTTTGGAGAGGGTGTGATTACCAATCAATATGCATCCAAATGAACACCTTCAAAAAATGCTCTGTGTTCTTGTCAAAGTCTTTTTTGAGTAATGATACACTACAAAGGCTAAGAGTTATGTTATTTTCTTTGTAAAAGATCCTCATCTTTCCTTTAGCTGAAAGTACATAGTAGAGAGACACCATAAGGCAAATCCAAACTCACAACAATATACTGAGAAGCATTCATTTGTGGCACCCACCTGTCCTTGGGCATTTGTGATGATCTGGCTGGTGATGCCGGCCATGTTGGACATGGCACTAGTGAAGATAGGAGTGGAGGTGAGGGAACTGAGGAACTGGGGCTGCGTTACCAAAGACGCAGCATTGATCTGAGCATAAAAACACAACATGTGTAAGAAGCGCAGGAAATTAAATTGCATGACTGACATTATATTATAAACAGTAAACAAAAGTATAAATCCTGAAGCTGCATTCTTACAATGGCAGGATTGATAGAGAGTCCTGCAGCCTGGAGCGCTGCTAACGATATGTTGGACTGAGAGACAGCAGTGGTCGCCTGGGCCGCCGCCACCTGAGCGGTGGTAACCTGTGCATGGGTCACCTGTGTTGGATGAGACGTCACCTGCACAGGCTGTATGGCAGCTTGAGGCTGGAACATCGTCTGAGCGTTCGTCTGCAGTTGGGGCTGAACAGAGTTCAGGACTGTCGCAGCTGAGTAAAAATTCAAGAGTTTGCAACGTATTATTCACTGTGAGACTCAAAACAAGACTCAAGAGTCTACCGACATGCTAGCAGCTCTGTGAGACTGTAATCAGGCACATAGTGCTTTGAGCTAAGTGCTAACGTAAGTGTGCTAACCAGCTCACAATGACAACGCTAAGATGTTGATGTTTAGCAGGTGTACTCTTTACAATGTTCACAAGGGATGCAAAACCAAACTGTAAAAAAATGAACTGTCCCATGACGTACAAACCGCTTGCTGTACCGTTGCACCACTATTAGATACAGGCCTGCTAATTATTTGATTGTGCCTGAGACATAGTAGAGGCAATTATCTGAACATAAGCTGACTTGACCATGAAGTAACTTGCTTTATTGCATGCATAAAATCAGTGTTATGGCTTCATATATAATAGAATTAGCATTCACTATCAATCAATCAATATATATATATATTTTGGAGTTCAAACACATTGGAAAAGGTTATGATTTCATTCTCCTTAATGTGCAATCCACCAAATATTGTTGAAATATGTCAGTGTGGACCAAAGGGTTTCTGTGGCAGCCAACAGCGATCTAGCAAAAAATAAATGTGGCCAAAATCTAATATGAGAGGCTATATGGGGAGCATGCATACACAGATAGTTTGTGCTTTACCTTGGAGGCCAGCAAAGGGCAGTTTGAGAAGGTTTCCAGCTGTGTTAGCTGCTGTGAGCCCGGGGAGAGTAGCTACGTTGGTGGTAGGTAAGGTGAGAACAGCCAGACCTCCCTGGCCACCGATGGAGCCCGCCATACTGATGGGGATGAGCAAGGGCTGCCCCAGAGATCCTGTCTGGGCCATCATACTAGTCATCAGAGTGGCCAAACTTTCCTGGGTCAGCACCTAATGTAGTATAATCAACTCATTTGACTGGGATGAACAGAGTAATGCTGTTTCAGATTACATTTCTGACCTCATTTGTATCTATTTACTGGCATTCTGGTGTTTTTACAGGGGCACTTTTACTGAACTCAACAGTGATACATTCTCATTGCATTTGTACTCAAATACACAACAAAACTAAAGACACAACAAAACTATTGACGACATCATTCCATCTTTGAAGACTTAAGATGAATATTGAAAATGTAATCGGTGTGTAAATTCAATACCTGTGGACAGCCTTGTACAGTGATGGGCATGGTGGCCTGGGGCTGCGACAGGGACAAACTGACGGGAACAGCAGGAGTCAGTGTTTGGACAGCAGGGGCAGGAACCTCGACAGACACCACCTGCTGCTCACCCAGCACTACAGGAGCACAGCCAGGGTTAGTTCTTACTGACATTTAAAGTGGTTGTAACAGCTGCTGTTAACATTTCAGAACAACTGTGTCACGTATGCATGAATAATAAGTCATGTGCAATCCATCATTTTCTGCTATGATCGTGATTTACCTACTCCCCCAGTGCTCTGGGGCATAGCGGAGCCGTCCTGTATGCTGCCAGCCTTGTGTTGTTCTGCAGGCCGAGCCACACCCTCCTCAGCTTTGACATCACTCGTCCCATCGGGTCCTGATGATGGCAGAGATGCATCGACCTCTACCTCTAGCACACGAATAGTCTCATGGCTTGACATCACAATGACCTGTTAGTAGTTTGTAAAACACTTAATCAATGACATTTTAAATATGGTAAAAGTCTCACTTGAACAACAAAAACCCTAACAAGAACTTCATTTAGGTATTTCTCTACTTATCAATTCACATTGACTTAACTGATGATTCACGGTATGCAATAATGAAAGACCTAGAGGAGAGGTAGCGAGATAACCGGGGCTGGAGGACAAGGTGCAGAGACACAATGCAGGAAGAGAGGGGAGGATGCATACCTGGTAGTCTTTGCGGGGAATGTCAAAGTGCAGGATTTAAATGGCTGAAAAAAGACTTCTGCAGTCAGACAGTGAATGGCTAAGGAGAACAGAGAAGCCGAGCACATGTTAGGACACAATGACCCAAAACAAACACGCACGAAAGAAAAAAAGAGCATGAGTACACAAAAAGCAATGATAAGAGCATCAGTCAACAAGCAGCTCAAGCCATGCTTTCTTCAAGCTCCCCTCAGTACATCAGGGAAGAGCATTGCTATTGTTTGCTGATGTCTACACAGAATGTTACCAGACAGAGAAAAAACACACAAAAGTATTAAGCATGGCAGTTTATAGACCAGTAACCCTCACAAGCATAGAGCTGCAGGCATTATTAGGTGATAAAAGACAAAACTTGTGTGGAAGCTAATCGTTCCTTTATGATATGGTATGTTGGCACATGGAGGGTGACGGGAGCAAACGGCAGCAAAGAACTTGAGGACAACATCAGTCATCAGGGTTTGGAGTAGCTGAGAGCGGTTACAGTGGGAGGAGAAGGATGTGCATCGTGTTTTAACATACAGGTGAGTGTTACCTGCTCATTGACAGTGAGTGGGGCATCTTTGGCAGGGGGATCGTGGGAGTTCATGGCTCGCTGCACCACCACAGTCACTGTCTTCCTGACATTCTGGGTAAACAAAAGATTTCTTGATTTAGAGTCTGACTACCAAGGGCACTTGATCCGTCAATTTGGTTGTGTGTTTTGTCATTGCTACACTGATAAAACCTCTCAAATTGAACTGCTCTGTACAAGTGTCTGGCCGAGATTAGTTAACGGATGTCTCAAAATTGTCTTCAATTAAATCACAGTAAAACAGAAGTTCTGTTTTTTTCCCCCCAGACGAGGTCTCTACTAACATCCTCCAAAACCTGAGTCCATCAGCCACGAATAGAACATTGTTTTGTCAAGACAGTTATTCGGTCCTGCTACTTTCACCTGAAGAATATTGCAAAAATATGCCCACTGTTTTTACTCTTTTCAGTAGTTTAAAATGGTTATCCATACTGCAGCAAGACTACTCACTAAGACCTCATGTTCAATTCAATTTAGGATTCAATTCAAGTCAAAGATCAGGACCTTTATTTGTCCCTGGGGGGCAATTGTATTAGGGGAAGAGAAAGAAAGAAAGGCATGGTTGGAGATGTGCTGATGCTACCTGTACGTTACAAAGTTGAGCAGTAATATGGCAGAGGGTATAAAAGAGAAATTACAGTATATCTGTTAGTTTTGGCAAATGGTTGTCTGAGGCGGTAACCAGAGGGCAGGAACTTACATTCTTAGTGCAAGGGCTGGCTACTGTCAAATATAATGGATTCTGACTTCTTTGGCAACTGTTTGTTGTCCAGTTCGGATAGATTGTTCTGCTGAGTGCCAAACATTTAGCTGCCGAGACACTCCTTAAGGTCCTACTCCTCATCTACAAGGCTCTGAATAGTCTTGCTCCAGAGTATATTAGTGATTTACTAATGTGGTATACCTCTGCTCAGCCCCTCAGGTCCCCTGAACCAGGCCTGCTAGTTGTACCTCGTTCTAGATTGAAATCACAAGAGGACCGTGTCTGCTGTCCTGGGTCTCTGAGCAGACTCTATTGGGTGTTTTAAGTCACAGCTGAAGACCTATCTATGTGCTTTTATGTTTGAGTCATGAGCCTTGTTTTGAGCTGAGGCGCTTCTATTGTTATGTTGTTATTGTGCCATTTTCTAATGTGTGTCTGACTCATATTTTGTTCTTTTAATCATTCATCCTTTTGTAAGACACTGTGTGACCTAGGTTTTGAAAGGTGCTAATTAACTTACTTAATCCACTCCTTCAAATGTTTTGCAGCCATTTCAAAAATAAATATGAAGTTTCTTTGGGGTGACCCCTTTTAGCCCAAATGATCCGCACTTTAGGGGCAAATCCTGGTTTGGAAACAAACCCACATGCAGAGGACTGGTTTTTATTCATGGCTATTTCTGACATTGCAGGACCAGACTATTTGGAGGGGACGGAGAAACGGGCCATGTTGTGTTGCACTTCAGCTGCAGAAAACGTGATGGAACACGCGGATCATCGACATGAAGCGGTTACATTTCAATCTCAGATCAGAAAAAAAGATTCAAGATGGTGCATTTCCTGCTGCAATGCCCTGTTAGAAACGAGGATCTGTCAAAAACTTCAGCGGGTGTTGATGAGCTCCCCACCCCCATCCTGCCCAATAAAAGTCTCGTCGCGTCGGCCACTTTTGAAGACGAGCACTATCCACCAAGCACAGGCGACAGAAACCATCTCTACCCGTGCCTAGAGACCGAGTATTATGTATTTCCCTCTCTTTATCATAAATATATAAATTATGCTAATTACGAACATTGCATATTAACCAAAACTCATTTCCTATCGCCATGTCGCTGCTATGCGCGAGGAGCAGGCTCGAATATTGCTCCGGTTATTGTATTCAACTTACCGCGGAAATGCAGCTTGATTTCTGTAATCCCCCGCTTTTATAAAAGGTCCTTGTCACAGTTTGTTTCAGTCACACATAATTAAAAATTCATCTCAGCTCCCAGACGGGCGCTGTGACTGCACACAAAAGAGGTATTTGCATTGATAAGGAGGGTTGTAACGTTAGGATCTCCTCTCTCTTAATGTTTAATGACGATGCCCTTTCTGCAACAGCTCAGATAATCAAAAATCCTTGAGGTGTCTCACAAAATCCTATTTGAGCCGTAAAGTCGGACTAAATTGCAACAAAATTGGCCTTTAGCACTACGTCATGAACATAATTTATGCACGGAAAAATCTTGCATTGAAAAATGTCTGCCTCGACTTGCGAGGTGCCATGGTTCTCTTAAAGGGGAAGTACCGAGAATACAAGCCGAGGAGAAAGAAGCTCTGGCACAGTGCTGTACACGAAGAGTTGCCTAAAACTGCTCTTTGTTTACTTACAGTATTGGTAACTACAACACTTAAATTATGCAGCTATAGGTTCATAACTTTATTATCTCAGTTTAATATTAATATCAATGGGTAAATGTCATAAAATGGAAATGTTACTGCAAATAGAAAACGTGTTTCAAACTTGCACACTTTATTAATGACTACAAACGGGCCTTTTTACAGTCAAATTAACAATGGTTCCATGAACAATATCAGCTCCACACAGTAGGAAAAGCACACAGGTGTATGTGTGTTTTATTTGCACGAAAGACGAAAGAATCCAGATAGTGAAAAAAATAATAAATGTGACAGGAGAGGTCAAGTAGCCACAGGCCTTTACAATGGGCCTCCTCTCAATATAAGGAGACAAACAAAGAAATAACAAGGGGGGGGACTTCACTAACATCATTTAGAAAAATACAACAAAAAGATAAATGAAAAGAGGCACGCAAAATAGTCAGAAATCCAACCAATCAGTAGACAACAATACAATCCATAATACAATAAAAAAACACAATTAAATACATGAAAAACAATTACTATTCAGCATATTCAGGGTCCTGATATTGTATGCTGGCTAACTGTCACACTTCCATGGCATATAGGGACACTTAAATAAAAAAGTTTTTTGTAACATGTTCTTTTCCTACTATGACAAGTCAAAATGTCTGCTATGACACAGGACTTTTGTGCATGGGTAACACAGATAGTTCACTACAAATCAAGGGCAGGTAAAAAGAGACTGCCTATCAATATTAGTTTTAATATCCTTGTATGGTATTGCTGAGTCATTTATCAATAGAAAACAATGTATTGACCACACAGAATAGTATCAGGAACTGACCTTGTTTTTAGTTGTAGCTACATTTCCAATAAAGTTATTTCTGTGTTACTATTATAATATTTTATTATCTACCTCCCTGTTTGTCTCCTTTGGCCATTTGTTTCTTTTATCAGTCATGAGTTACCTGTCTGCTGTAAAGCTGCTATCTATCTATATAGCTATCCATTTGTCCTTCTATCTGTCTATATGATAGATAGATAGATCGATAAATAGATCGATAGATAGATAGATACTTTATTCATCCCGCAAGGGGAAATTTGTTCACTACAACAGCAAAAATATATTCAAGCAATCAAAGAAAAAATATATATTAACTATAAAAATGCACAATATATACAATAAAAATAGCAGAGTAAAATATATGAAATATAAAAAATGCACAAAATATACAATGAAACAGAATAATATCAACTAACTAACTAACCAGTAGTGCAAAGGTGTTAGCATATGTTTTGTTTTGTTTTAAAATTATCATTTATTCTTTGCGCTTCAAAGCCAAGTCCGATTATTTTTGTCTTTTCAAGAAGCCAACGGGTTCACCTTTTAGTCACTCTTGAACGCCCCTATCTTTTCCGCCTGTAGGGGGCGCGCGCACTTAAAACACCGAGTGCGCCGAACCACAGATAGAGAACGACTGACGTCACCACTTCCACAACAACAAGAAGCTGAAAAACAAGGAAGTGAATGATTGTGAAGCCGTAACCTGTTATAAAGGCCGTGACAAGATATACGTTGAGCTCCGTTTTATCTGAAATTCCTCCGCTTCTGCACCAGTCAAGAACAATGAACAACAAAGGTATTTGTCCACACTCCGTTCGGGTGATTAGTCAGCTGTCCATTTTACGACGCTGACGGTTTAACTAGAAGATGAAGAAGAAGCTGTGTGGTTGTGGCCATCTGAAGCGGACTTCACGTTTAGCTACGTACACGACCATAAACTGACGTTTTCTTGGCTAACTTGTTTAGCACACACGTCGATCGCTGGTATATATTTTATCATAAAACGCCGAAGATGTAAATAATGAACGCGTAAATCTACTGTCACCTTATATCACCGTAGCATTAGTGGCCATGTCACATATTTCCAGTTAGCCATCATCACCACTCACAACAGGCAGGATTTAAAGGCAGCGCTAACATGATTTTACCGTTTTAGTTCACATACGTGGGAATCTAAATATGTATCCATCGTTTTAATCCACTGTGCACATACAATATGTGTAGAAGTAGCCTATATTTATGGGAGCATTGCATCGCGTGTCTCGTCTTTTTTCCCTCGGCTATATGCTAGTTATTTGAACATACTCGGATCCTTTGTTGCTACCAGGGTTTGAAGCGCCGAGGCCGACAAAATAACGATTATTTTCATGATCGATTAATTACCGATTATTTTCTCGAATAATTGCTCTTGTAACTACGGTAAATAGCGCAAGATGCGCATCGTTAATTCTGAGACACGGACAGTTATATAAAGAAACCCGGAAAATATTCACTTTGGGGAAAGTGGGACCAGAGAATTTTAGCATTTTTTTTTTTTTTTGCTAAAAGAAATACTTTAATTATTAATTAATTATCAAAATACATTTTCTGTCAAATAATCGACTAAGCATTTCAGCTCCATGTAGGGATTTTGTTTCTCACGTTTTGTCAGTTTTTAAACACAAATCTTGGAATTAAAGCAATAACTTTAACTTGTATTTTTTAAACTTAGTTCACAGTTTTGACTTTTTTTTCTTATGTTGGGACTACCTTTCACCCCTCAAGCAAGGCTGTATGTGCTAAATTTCTCTGCAGTCCATATTTGAATATTAAGCTGTTTTCTGTTACTGCTGAAAATGTGTTATTCTTTACTTTAGCCTGACAATAAACATGACGTTTTCTGTTGTTTCTGAGAAACGTTTGACCTCTAGAATTATTCTTTGGATTTCTGTGTCAGTCACTAAACAATAAAGCATTTGCTTAAAGTAAAATGTTGTTTTGCAGGTTCATATCCTCAGCAGGCTGTGTACCCTCAGCAGAGCTCTGCACCTGTATACCCTCCTGCTATGCAAATGTCTCCTCAGGCACCTCCTTACACAGACACACCACCTGCATATTCTGAGGTAACTATTACTTTTATGTATGCTATGATAACACAATACTCTCAGTGAACGGTTCTTTTTCACTTCTTTTTTGTATCTTTTGTCTGCAGATATACCAGCCCAGATATATGCTTCCACATCAGGTGCCCAGTCAGGTGGCACAGATGTCCTCTCACTACCCTGGTGCTCAGATGTTTATGCCCATGCAGCCACATATGCAGGTTGGGCAAATGGGCCAGAATGTCCCCATGGCTTACTATCCCATGGGAGCCATGTACCCCCCTGGTTCAACAGTGATGGTAGATGGTGGCTTTGATGCTGGTGCTCGCTTCACAGCAAGCAGCGGTGTTTCCATCCCAGTGAGTTTCCACCTAGTCCAATTATTCAGAACTATATTGCAGTTAGGTTGCATTGTCGGATTGTTGTAAAATCCAAAGTTGGTCGACTCTCTACCAATGCTTGTGCTTGTTTCTCCCCATCTCTAGCCCCCACCTCCTGGACATCCCCCCAATGCAGCTCAGCTGGCTGCCATGCAGGGTGCCAATGTTGTAATGGCACAGCGCAAGAATAACTTCTTCCTGGGTGGATCCAGTGGAGGTTATACCATCTGGTAACGGCAACTCCTCAACTCCTCCTTCATGCCTAAACCGTGTCCCCGCCCCAAATGATGCCCCAGTTCTTCCCCCATCCCATACGCCTCCCTCTTCAGGCTGCTTGGCCATGCCACAATACTGATATCACCTAACGGAATGTAATATTTTAGCGCCCTTGTAAAAGGTACAGTACTCCACTTCTGACCCCGAGATCAAATGATGAATGCCACTGCCTGGAGAGGACAAATGCTAATTTTTAATGTCGTAGAATTCATTCCATAATTCTTGAATGGGTCTAACCTCTTTCGGTCATTCCAGATTGGACCTCTTTCAGGCATCTGTATTTGTTCAAGAGACCTGGTCTCCTTTGATCGAATGGATCAAAAATTACATTGAGATGTTCTTGTATACCTGTAAAAGCAACGTAAATTAAATATTGAAATATCAGACCCGCGTTGTATAGTTTAGCTGCTTTATGGTGAAAGTGATATGCAGTTACAAAGTTGCAGTTGAAGTGCAAAAAAAAAAAAAATTCCATTTGTCTTTTTGGGAAACTTTTAGTGTAGTTAAATTAATAGATGTGTAATAGTTTCATGTAAATACCAGTATGATGATCATGAGAAATTGCATCTCAACTATACAAAAAAAAAAAAAAAGAATGAGCATCTTGGATGCTTTTAGCTAGAATTGTCTCGTCCTTTGCACAGTATCCAAAATATCACAGCAAATTTGTTGTACAGTCTAACTGACGGATTGTTACATTTAAATCACTTGTAAATTAAATAAACGAAACTGAAGCAAATAATTTAAGAAAAGATTTCATGCAATATCCAAAGTGGTTTACTGTACCTTGTTGGGCAATTTGTAGATGAACATAGTGAAGTGCCAAAGAGCACTGGGGATAGCCCGAATTTAAAGCAAATTAACTTCAGTAAACTTAAAGGAAAGAAATTTAAAGTAAATCCAAATAGTAAGTTGAATGGGAAGGGGTGGTTGGTGTAACATTTTTAGATAGTTTTTTTTTTTTTCTCTCCTGTTTCTATTTCACAGTCGGATACCCAGAGTTTATACACTAAATGTTTTATTGTACAGACTTCAAGAACTACCCTCCACTGTTTCTCTTTGTCTTTTCACACAGCATCATTTAGAATCCAATTTTTAAAGTATTTATTCACCGTAGAAAAGTGTCACCTTTGTGATAGCATTAGTTTGTCGTTTCAAAAGATTGAGGAGACTTTAATAAATATTTCAGTGTTTTTTTTTTTTCCCCTTCATTACTTTTCCACATTTACACGACTAGTTAGCCTAATCAGTTTTTAGTATAGCCAATAAGCTGGTTGTATCATAAATTTGGTCTACAATGCACTTATGTTTGGTTATTACTTGAAATTTAAAATGTCACAATTTGACAGCAAACATATCTTCGAATAAGCAGGTATGAGATTGTTTGTACAAAGACCTTCAGTTTGACACGACTGCAATTGTGTTAATGTCACTTTATGTGGATTAATCGCATCTTTAAATTGATGCATCATTTTGCACCTTTTGCTATGTACAAATTTGATTAAATCATTTTTATCAGAGATGCACCACAAAGCAAATTTGAGTGGTTGCAGACTAGGGGCTACTAGTTTCTTTTTTTCTTTTCTTTTTTTTTTTGTTTTTCAGTTTTCATGACTTTTTAAAAAAAGAAACTGAGATTTCTGTTCCTGTTTAGACAATCCATCAAACTAGTCCGTTTGAAAGTAATGTCAAGATGTGTCGTGTTGTTCGGTAGCCTTAACGTGTATGCAATGAGGCTATATCACTGTCGGCATAATTGTTCATTTCCAACACATTTTTGTGCTGCTAATTAAACTTTAGAATCTTTACATAATACGTTATCTTGCAAACTTTAAATGAGGTATCTGAAGCTAGCTAAGTCAGTATGGATACAATAAACGTATATTTGTAGATATTCTTAATTTTGGTGTCTGGTAGCGTCGTCGTGTCACTGGGTATCCGACACACCGTATCGAGTTTTAACAGCTGTGGCCTCCAGAAAACAAATGCCGCCGCTGTCGACCGACATTTAGCTATTTCTGTGTTGGGTCGGAAGAGAGCAGCTGTCTGGAAACGTGCTTCGTTCATCTGATGAACTTCTTTTCAGCGGCTCTTAAACAAAGCTACTATACCAGACATGACCCACGTGTCACTCGGGTGTTTTTCTTTAAATGGCTCAATGTTCATTTATTCTCACTCATGCTGTCATTTCATACAGCTCCGCTGGTGAAGAGGCCACAGCTATCAAAACTTCAAAACTTTAAAACATATGATTCAGTCTAAGGTTTTTCTAATTTTTTATTTTTTTATTTTTTTTCCATCTCTTGTTTGTGAAGCAGCATAATGGTGGCTTTGTCCCAGCAATATGAAGTACTGTAAACTACAGCTGACCAGTAGATGCTATGCCAACCACAGCCAGCAAATGGATTACTCTTTGTTGAAGGATTATGGACATTTATAGTTCAGGGGTTCTCTTTACAACACTTTGTAAAATAGATGTATGTACTAAAGTGATGTGACAGACTTTGGTACACATTCTATCTTTTAAGATTACTAAAGGAGATGAGTGTCAAAAAGATGGAATACTTTGGAAAAAAGGTCTTAGGTGCACTTAACTTTTTTATACTAAACTTAAAATTTAAAATGTAAGTTTAGAATAAAGGTTATTTTGGAAATTTGAAATGCTGCATGTTTGTTTAATTTTCTATACATATACATTGTATTAGAACAGGGCAGGTTGTTAAGTTCAAGATTGTGACCTGAGATAACACCTGGGTTTTTTGGTTATTGTTTTGTTGTGATTTTAGCTTAAATGTTGCCTTTCCCTGGCCAGACTGCATCACAGGTAATTGATCGTTTAACCAACTTACTTGATTGTTTGAGTGGATGCTACTTGCTTGGCCTTAATACCAATATCACTTTTGTCATAAATAATTATCTCCCACCTTAGTTTAGTATACATACTGTACGAAAGAGTCAATAACTCAAATATTGTCACTTTGATATAAAAGGAATTGAGTCAAATATGGATCTGTATTTTTGTCAAATATCACCGGAGCATTGCACAGTTGCCAGTTTATTGAGTCTGGCATTTTAATCCCAACAGTCCACAATAAATCCCAACTTCTCTGAAGCTCATCAAATTCAGTCCTTGTTGAAACTGTTCCGGTTTGGATTCACATCCGTTGTAATCATTCGATGCTGGGGTTTGTCGTTATCGATTGGAAATTTATGTCCAATATTTTGTCAGCAAATCTACTCGACAATGTCAACAAACTGAACATCTGCTTCTTATGTGTTTTTGTGCAGGACTTTAGTATGAGATTCATTGGAGGTAGCTTGGTGTATCTAAAAAAAAACAAACAAGATGGTTCATTGACCACCGATTCAAAGTCAGGTTGTGGGTTTGTGACTATTTTGAAACACATTAAACATCACTGCAAGCGGTCACACTGTATAATGTCTCTAGTCCAAAAACAAGTTTAATTGCCTTCCACATTAATGTGAGATGGAGAAGTCATCAGTAACCGTGTCCAGCAAGGAATCGAAAAACAGTTACAACAAATGTTTAGGCTGTCCTGCACGGGGGACATTGCTTTTAACTAGCTTATAAAAACAAATTGCATAGAAAACCTACAATTTTACAAGCAAATCAATATAAAAGTAACTTCTCCCCCAATAGCTTCATAACACGTCTTGTAAGAGGTTTGTTTGGTGGGGAACCAAAGTGTCTGAATGAAACATATTGCAGATAGAGAGAAAAACTGAAACATGGCTGATAAACAGTGTAGCAGATTGTTTACGGATCATGTAACTGACTATACTAAAAATCTGTTTCCATGCATAGCTTTGCTAACCTAAACACACACCTGTTGTCACCATCAATATTCACTCAGTGTAACAATCTTATCTTTGGTTTTGCTTGTGCGTCACAACACACATCTTAAAACACGTTTTGTTTGTTTTTTCCCCCTCTGCCTCCCGTGTGCAGAAAATCACAGATGCATAGAAAAACAAAACAGTCCCATTTCTTAGCAGTCCTCCACAGAGCCTCGTCTCCACCAGGTTCATATGAAGTATTCCTTCTTTTCGCTCCCAGCCTGGTTATTCTGCTGGTCGTCGGGGTCCTCCCCCGGAGCCGGCTCCCCCGTCGTCCTGTAGTCTCCTTTGTTGTGGCAGAGATACCGGTAAAGCAGGAAGCCCAAAGCAACTACTGTCAGCAGGATGACGACAACGACCACTGGGAAAAATAAGGCAAAAATAATTAGCTTTAAATGCCGCTTTCAAACATCACGACAAGAAAAAGCTCAGATTGAAGTGCGACCGATTACCTGCTACAACTGCGTCTGAGCTGGCGGGGGCTGCTGTTGTTACCACTGAGGAGGGGGAATTAAAAACAGACGATGTATTAGAGTTAATTTGATTGTTTTACTTTGCAGGAGGGGAAGTAGTGCGATTCCAGGAGGAGGCTGGTTTGTGTGCTATAAATAGGAAATTAAATAAAATAGAAAAGTGTAGGAGTTACCCTGAATCATGGTGGTGTCTGCTTCTGGGGGAAGTGTTGTTAAAAGCCCCATATCTGATGATGGACAAAACACAAGCATGACATGCATTGATAAAACAGCACAAAGTCTTAAGGTCATCATATCAGGATACTTGTGGGCTGACAACTCAAGAGATTTGAAGCCAAGTGAGTTCATATCATAAATACAAAATTTAAAAAAATAAATAAAAAATAAAAAAAACTTGTGTACTCACCCTTTGTCGCATTTGTGTTTATGTGTGTGGAGAGTGTTGTCGAAGGAGTCGTATCGGAATCTGGAAGGTTAAAAGAATGTTAAAAATGTTACAGGGCGCTGTCTTCAGCACACAGGCTGCTTGGTAGAGAGTTGTGCAACCGCATAGCTGCCGGCCAAGGAGGGAATATGAAGTGTGGCGACGCGGTAATCTGGTTATTAACTGCTGGCACTGAAACAAACCCGTCAATCTCTTTGTTTCCTCTCTGATGCAACGACTTAGTCAGAGAGCCCAGCGGTGATAGAAATACTGAGGGCATTTAAAATGAGTAAAAGTAACAATACAAAGTCATAAAACATACCAGAACACGTCCTGCATTAAAAATTCTACTACGGTGGAAGTACAAAAGTATTTTCAGCAATAGGAGGTGGATTAATCAAAAGAAAATTAAATAATTTTTGAGAAAAAAGGCTCTATAATGTGTGAATTTCCTGCTTTTCTTGGCCATAAATGAGTCTAAATGGAATATTATTTTGGGGTTTGGAACAAGACATCAGATGGTGTCACCTTTGACTCGGGGATATTGTATGGGACATTTTTCATTGTTTTATAGACTAAATGATTAGTTAGTTGCAGCCCTGATCAGCTAAAGTACTTAAAGTATCAAAAGTAAAAGTATGCATTAGGCTGCAGAAAGGCACTAATCAGAGTGTTGGGTTATATTATTGGATTATTATTACTGGCACATATTATATCTGGTCCAGGTGGAGCCGGTTGTAACTAAACAAACCGTTGGGTAAATAGTCTATGACAACATATTATTTTATAAGATGATCAACTACTTTGTTTGTAAGAACTGAATCTACGAAGTAACTACAGTATATCTCAGCTTTCAGAGGAACGTAGTGCTGGGCTGCAACTAGTGATTGTTTTATCAACGGAGTTGTAGATTATTTTTGAGATTAGTTGATTAATCCTCGAGCATAAATGACATCATCCAATGTCTTTGTCTTTTTTTTCTCAATCAACAGTTCAAAACCCCAAAATATTTAGTTTACAAATGTAAAACCAGGAGTTACATTTGAGAAACAACATCAAATGTCTGTCACCTTTTTTTTTCTTGAAAAATTCCTCTATTGCCGATTAACTTCCGATCAATTTATCGATTAACTGTTAACGTTAATTAAATGGTAGTATTAAGCAGCATGCAATTAAAAGACTACAGAAAGGTATAAAAACCTCAATATTTGTACTCTACTAAACACAGCACTTTTATTGTCATTTTATTTTGAAAATATCTAGAATAATCAATTTTGTCATAGCAAGACATACAAGCACTTAAATACAATTGATTTAAAAAGGTGGACTTACTATTCATGATGAGTGACAGTTAACTCACTGGCTGACTTTACCTGAAAAAGAAACGCATAGAATCAAACAAATAAACAACCACATGTCTCACGAACATTTCCGCAAACGTCAAGAAACCATGTCGGACATCTGCATGGAAACTAACCGGTCAACACCTACCCCACCACTGTAACCGACGCGCTGACTCTTTGTCCAACGTTTTAAGGGACAAATAAAACTTCTCCGTCCTGATTAAGTTAGTTCACTTAACACAATGTCCCCTCGAAGAAGACAAAAGCTACATTTTCAGGGTGCGTATATCTCACACTGAACAATCAGACATTGTTCATCACAGCTGTTGAGTGAGATTACCTACCTGGCTGCTGTGGAGCAAATCGAAACAGCTGGCTTTAAAATCCGATTTTTGTTCCCCCCCCCTCAAGTTGGAGAATACTAACGTACACTTTCTAACTCGAGTTTGACATTTAAGCTGCCTGTGAGTCTGTTGAGGCGTCTGTGAAATACAGTAAGCAGCTATACTTTTTCTCGCAGCACTCGTGAGTCATGCAGCACACTCTCTCGATTTCCGCCCCTCCCTTTCCTCCTCCTCTCCGCGTCCAAAGATCGTCTAATTACAAGCTGTGGGACTCCGAAGGTAAACATGTGAACCAGAGGAGAGAAGCAGGAGCATGCTAGATAGATAGATAGACAGTGTTATGGGAAAATATGCATTTGAACTTTGTGTCCTCGATGTGAACTCGCAGTCAACTCGAAATCGTACGTGTCATCTATTAAGGAAAATGTCCACTGGAAAAGTAACAAAACTACTTGCAAAGTGGCAAGAACAACTTGTACCCCATGGAGTAAAGAAAGTGCAGACTAAGCAGTAATCAGAACTCGTGGTTGAAACACCTCATGTTACCTTGAATGGGAAATGTGTTCGCTACAGTAGCATTATGATACAGGTCAGCAAGGTAACAGAGTAAAATGAAGATGTATGACTCCGAAGGTAAAAATGTGAAACAGGGTAGAGAAGAGAGAAGTAGGCGCATGCTAATTAGCAAAGATATTTCTGATATTTACTTATTGTGACTGTCCATTCTGTTGTCAAGTAATTTTGCCCATATATATAAAAAAGAGTTGTATTAATTACCATAGAAAACAAACAAAAAAACAGCAAATATTCACATTTGAGAAGCTGCAACCAGTGACTCTTTCGGCCTCTTTAAGAACCTTTAGAAAAAAGTATTGAAGACTATTGTTTGATTTATTGATTGTTCAAATAGTTGCTGATTCATTTGTCTAATCATTTTGGCTCAACTGGAATGTGTGGGGAAAAACAGTAAATCCTGATTAGCACAATATTTTTCCAAAAAGATCTGGTTGAATTCAAATTTAACTGAATGCTAAAAGTCACCTGTACTTCAGCGAGTTAGTGCTGCACATTGAAGGACTTCCAGCGACCCTGAAATGGATAAGCGGTTACCGATGGTGGATGGATGGACATTGAAGGACTTGTGCAGCAGAGGGCGAGATACCGACTTTTGGTTCCTAGTGTGGGTCAAGCATACAAGTTTTGGCAACTTGGTAGCATCTTTCATTTGCTGTACTCCATTTTGCTGTGTCAGATTTCATATTGTTTCTTATATCTTTTTTTAATTGTTAGCAGTGGGGTGGATTTTCTATTTGGATTGAGCCACAACAAGCCATGTGAAATAAGTCTATATGAGACTCTTTTGTTAACAGTCCTGTTTGGGAATGGGGTGTTTCTTTTTCCACACCAAACTGGCTCAAACTGGCACTGTGCTGGTCGGATTTCAAGTCACACCCGACATCCTTCCTGCATAGTAAACAACCACGTTTTTCAACCCCCTAAAGCTGACATGGCCCTAGTGACATCATCGGGGTTATTTTGTCAGAGTTGACTAAAAGCTCCCTTTAGAGCTACAGGGGACATTAACAGTGTTTCCACATGCAGACTGATACTCCTCAAAAAGGGGTAAAATAATCAAAATAAGTTACAAAGTCAGTGACATAAGATAAAAGGATGCATAGATGTATATTGATACCGCTCAGTCATAACACAAAGCAGCCTGTCAATCAGGAAAATCACTAAGTGGTGTCTGTGTCCTGATTCTGACTACCAAAATAAAACTCCATGCTGTTCCAATTCAGGAAGTGAGAGACACCGAGGTCAGCTGACCATAACAAATTTGAGGAAACTCACATCTAATGTCTTTTTCTTAGAATGAATTAAGCAAAACAAAACATTTTCTTTCATTGAACTAATCTGGTTAAGACTGCCTTAAAATGGCCGGACTATCCTCCACATTTTAGCTCTGGAATTCTACTTTATTTTAGACATTTGGTTCAAATAAACTTTTAAATATTAATGATGAATGACTCCTTAGCTGTAATGCAAATAAATGAATGCAAACTATTGCAAATTCTGTTGGGTTCACAATGACAAAAAGCTGAGAAATGTGGGCTGAGTGAGACCTCATTGTTTGTGAACCTATCATTTTATAACCTGTTGGCAGAGAAGCAACCACAGCAGATGACACCTTAGATTAAATTTAAACAAGACAGAAGGATTTATTGTGTACACATTTCATATTAATTTATATATTTCATCAAATTAGTATAAACGTGATACAAAAAAAGATAATTGTTCAGAATTACATAATGATTCATCTTCACAGTGCACAACTACTTTGATTACTGTTTTGTGAGGGAAAAAGATCAAATATACTACACTAATATAATAGATGTAATTCAAACTAAAATGGAAAATGAAATCCCCAGCACATGCACATGCACATTGTATACAGTGACCTGTAGTCAGTAAGAAACGTTTCTAACAATGTAAACCTTGGTGCACTTATGTTTGGGGTACATAAAATAACTCATTTATGGTGCAGAATATAATGAAACCTGTGGCGGAAAAAGTCTATTTATAATCTATACTTTTCAAAGGATACTTAAAATGAAACATGGCTGTTACAAAAAAATATGACTTTACCCATAAAATGAACTGCACTGTATGTACAACCGATTTCAATGAAAGATAAATAAGAAAACTAACACCAACAAGTCGATGCACATGTCCATCATTCCTGAAATTAGAGTTGAACATTTCAGCGCTGCTGTCTCCACTTTTTTTTTTTCCCTTGTGCAGCTGTTGACTTCAATCTCCTCCGCTTCTCTGTTTAAATCAACACAGGGCAGACATGGATACATGAAGAAGGTCGATAGAAACAATAATAATCGATAATAATGCATGAATCATACAAACCTTAAGTCTGAATACTTTAAACCTCTGTGCTTTTTGAGTCTGGAGATGTCTGTTTTTCTGCAGGAGCATCCTGAAAAGTCATGTGAAATGTGAGTCATGTCAAAAACACGGTGGGGAATAGAGGGTCTGTGTCGCCATTCCTCGGCTCATTAATTGACAAACCTTGTGAGGAAGGCTCGGGTCCTCGGTGTCGGAGTGCAACCCGGAAACTTCACCGTTCTCCACTCCATTTGGTTTAAGGGTGTTGAGCTCCACCGGGCTGTCTTCTCTCTCTTCAATGTGCAGCGGGCCGTCGTCTGCTGCAGACAGCTGAAGCTCCAAGCTCTCTGAATCCCCGGAGTTGTTCAGTTCACAGCTGCTCTCACTTGGTGGAGCTTTCCTACCGTCTCCCTTGTTATCAGATTCTGCGGGGGGCTTGGCCTCAGACTCCTCTTCTTTCATGCCCTTCTCCTCTTCCACATCATTGCCGTCCTCTCCAGACTTATGCTCATTTCCAGCTGCAGCGTCTTCCTGTGCAGGAGAACTGTGGATCTCACTGTGGCTCGACCCCGCGTCCAGGTCCCTGGACTCGGAAGTGGGGCTCTCCGGAAGGGATGATTGCCGTGAGACGGCGAGGGTGCTGCTCTGTCTGGACAAAGTGCTGTGGCGAGGCTTGTCTGGGGACTTGAAACTAAACCTCTGGCCAGGTCTAGGACTATAGCTCTTGTGAAAATCAGAGAAGCTGGCTTTCCAGGCCTTAGGGGACGTCAGAGTTCGTCTCTTCAGGGAGCCATACCTGAAATATTTTGTATTATAAGACAAAAATCTCCAAATTCAGACATTAACGTATTCAAAGTATTCATCCCAAAACAATGAATCAATCAGAAAGCACTTTGTCTCTATAAAAAATATTATAGTAAATATTGCAGCTTTGGGCCCATAATGCTGTTCAACCCCAAAACATGTGAAATGTTGGCATTAAATGCTTTTTGGAGCTGCAAAAGACAACGCTGTTAGCTGATAAGAGAAGTGTTGTGAAGTTTAGCAGAGCTTCAGTTGTCATGATATAACTTTTTATGGTCACTCAAAATGTTTTCAAAACGTCTTCAAATTTCAAAGCTGAAAAGGAAAAACTTACCGTTGCATTCCCTTCAAAGAAAACATTTTGTCCGGGTGCTGAGCCTGCAGCTCCTTTATCACATTCAGCAGATCAAGGTTGAGCTGAAAGAGGACAGAACTGGTCAAATAAAAATAAAAAATAAAAACATAACAATGTATATAGTTTGCCTTCTGACTTAAGAAAAGCGTACCGTGCGCATTTCTTTGTAGAAGATGTCTCTTAAATTGGATACAGCTGAGAAGACTGTCACAAAGCATCCAACACGGCTGAGAAAGACAAATAAAACCATAATGTAAAGCATGTGTATACGCTTACATTTCATATGATGATAAACAAAGAAATATTCTAGCAAACCTGTCAAAGAGCACCGGCAGCTCTTCTTTTAACTCAAAGTTGATCCCTTCGTAGACACTTTTAGCAGCATTCATGTCTTCGCCTGCCTTCAGAGTGAAACAAATGGAAGTATATTTTTGGGCAAATGAAGGTTGAAATGCACAGTTAAAAAAGAGATATATGCATGTTATTATCAATAACCTTGTTGATCTTGACATCGTCCCTCTTCTTAGCAGTCTGCAGTGCCTCCAGGTGGTGAAGGGAAGAGTCGTAGTCGACCAATTTTCTGCCCCTCTTGGCTACTTTCTCCTACAGATTGGAAAAGATTGGCACTGCCTTCCAAATTGCATGCTTTTACTATTAATACATACAACAGCTGCCCTTAAAAGGCACGTACTGTTGCATACAGTAGATATTTAATTGGGATGTACTACGTCATAATAACATTGCACCTGTAACTTTGAAGCCCTTGCTCATACATCAGGATTGTGGGTCAGCATAGACAGACAAGCATGCAGGCTTGCATACTGCACAATATCACCAGATGCAGCAGCACATCCTGGTACTTTTGGCATAGATATACTTTGTATCGGGACTTACTAAAACTTTTTCTGGCATACTAAGTAGTATGGTAGTATGGGTATTGGAACGCACAGATGGTGTGTGTGTGTGTACTTGTGTGTCTTTGTAGGGTTTTGTGTGTTTTGCTCTCAGGCCTTTTGTCTGCCTGTGTATTCACTTCTGTTTGCTTGCATGCTTGCTTTCTCTCGTCTTACCCGGACATCTGGGAATTGGCTCACGTAGGACTCCATGGTGCGTACGGCCTGATCTACTAGCTTCACCTCGAGGTCATTCCACAGGAGGTCCTCCCCCTTATTAAAAGACATAGCATAAATATTGCATTAATTATGTATGGAGAGAGGGAGAAAGAAGGGGTTTTGGTTCCCCTAGCTATGTGTGAATCCTGTTGCTTTTGTCCTTGTAAAACACAGACGTGCAGTGGTAGAGCTGTATTTCATCACTGATGATTGTACTGACCTCTACAATGGCTCCTAAATCTTCCTCTCCAGCCCAGTCAGTTTCGTAAGCATCAAACAGAGACTGGGAAAGGCGTCTTGAAGCTTCGCGCATGTCTGTAAAAAGCAAACTCGTCCGTGTGAGACCTGCAGAGGACACAAATCTACAACATATACAAGTAAAAAAGCATCTTCACCTCGAACTGAATTAATGTAGTTCCTCAGGTCCTTGTACAGTCGGTTCCCATCAGTCTGCGAATAAACAAGAGGTTTGCATAATTGTCAGTCTTTAGATTTATGAATTTCATTGTGTTTGGTTCTCAGAGTATAAGTCATCGCATGTTTACACAGTAGAGACAGCAGTGGAAATATATTTGTGTTAAACTGAAAGTCTTTTTTTTTTTTTTTTCCAATTGTTCAAACATTGTTAATCTACTTTATTGTCCAAAACAAACACGGAAAGTAACTCAATGTGTCCATTATCTCGTTAAGCAGGGGAATGATTACCTGCTGGTCATTAAACTGTTGGAGACAATGTTCAAAGTGGTCATCTCTGCTCTCCACCGTCTTCCCCAACTTCTGCAGTACCTGTAGAAAAAACAGCACGTACCTCAAAGCAACAGCTACCGCATGGTAATACCTTCCTTCTCTTGCTATTTGGTAAACAGAAACGTGCAGACCGTTACCTTTTCTTTGCTTCTGCTCAGCTGTCTTTGGACTTTTTTAGCAAAGTCACCAGTGCCGCCCTTTGGACTTGTGCTCTCGGCCATATTCTGACTTGACTGCGTTTGTTCCTGAACGATGAAGGGAAACAGAGACGAAAGAATTCTCATCTCATATTTAACCAAATTAAGACTGCTTCAAATGTGTTCACCCTCTCCGACCTCCAGAGCTCACTAGAGAGACTTTTGCATGTCGGACACATCAAGACCACTCATTTAATGTATAACAACATACCAGCACCATATACACAGTTATATTTAAATTACTATCAATACTATGGGAGTAGTAGTACAATTATTTTTTTATAGTCCAAGATATTGTGAGTAATGTATATAGGTTTTTTTAATGCTATCACCTCCCTCTACTCTATTAGTCTACCTTTGTGCTGCTGTAACACTTTACTCTTATGGGTTTTTCATAGGAGTATTTATAAGAGTATTTAAACTTAATGATATCAGATGAGGTGGAAAAATGGGGAGAGTGAGGCATAACTGAATAACCTCTTTATATTCACCTCAGTGAGCAAAGCAGCAAGAGAAGTCTTCGTGTCGCTGGGGCTCTGGAGGCCTCTCAGCAGTGTTGGAAAAAGTATTCAAATCCTATACTCAAGTAAAAGTACCACAATATAAGAATACTCCTTTACAAGTAATACAAAGTCCTGCATTCAAAGCTTTACTCCAGTATAACTTGGTTTTGTCAAAGTATAAGTACTCATTATGCAGCAGATTTGCAAATTTCAGAGTTGTATCATATATTTTATGCTACTTCTCCTTTCACAATTTATGCATATATGTGTATAGCAGTAGTTGCTTTTCGGATTAAGATTTTTACAAACAAAACACAATAATCTTGTAAAATACTATCTAATACTAATAGTATATCGAGTCATTCAAATGAGCTCCACCTTGATCAACTACAACAATAAAATGCTGTCAACAAATCTATGCATAAGTAATAATCTAGTATCATTTTATTTAATATTAGGACAACGGATATATTTTTTGCTAATAATTACTCAAGTAACACTTTTAATGCAGGGCTTTTGCTTTTTACTTTTAATGGAGTATTTTTACATTGAGGTATTAATGCTTTTGCTCCTGAATACCATTACTGAGTAAGTATAAAGTAGTAGACAATTGAAACCTCTGCCGTTAAGTTATGGAGCGATGGAATTCAAAAAATCGAATAAATGACTTGATGAATTAATGAATATGCCAAAGGTAAATACATAAAGAACCAAATAAAAACTGAAATATCAATGTCACATTTTATAAATGAATCAATGCCCACATGTATTGTTGATATTGTTTTAGGTACATTTAATTGCATATTCATTTTTTAATCGAGTGGTTTAATCATATTTTGGTAGGTTCCATCCTCCATACTCTGACCCATGGACGCTCACTTTTGCTTCAGCTGTGGAACCGCGTTAATCCTCTGATAACTACAATACCCAGAGTTCCCCGCGTTCAAGCCACTCCTAGGAGTAGAATGGCAGCGGTGAACTTTAGTCAGAGTGCGTATGTTTCTGTTGGTGTCGGAGGAGTGGCCCTATGACCAATTCCGACCAGATTCAAGCGCTGCTCGCCGACCTGCAGCACATGATCATGGGGAGCACGCTGGTCACCTGTGCCGCCACAGACCTGGGCATCCAGTGGGCCGGCTGGGCTCTGTCTGCAGCCTTCAAAACCGAGAAGTTTTATGATTTGGCAGGTAATGAAAAAGAAAATACCAACAACTGGCGAACACTTTCCCTTTGAGAATGTTGATTTCTTGCCTCGTGCAGAGGTTTTGCAGCCTGACTTGTTATTCAAGACGAATTGGTGTAAACTCGCCTCGACAGAGAAGCGAATCAGATTTAAGCGGGCTATACGTAGGTTTAAACAACTATAATTCAGCTGTGTGAGTTGTTTGATTTTAAAACTGCGCGTTTTTCTTTGCACGTAAAAATTGAACTGTAACCATTATGAAAGCTGTGTTATCTAAAGCAGCTTTGTTGTGAAACAGCCAGATAGCTCCTCCTTCATGTTAAGAAGCGAGATGCATATCCAATCAGCTTAACTTAGCTGGTCCTGTGTCACTGCAGGGCCGTACAGAGACATCAGGGGGCCCCAATTATTATTATTTTTTTTTGTTTATGTGGGGCCCAATGAAGAATGGACACAGCCCGTCTTCCCACTAGTGATTACTGGTACCTGGTCTCACTTTTGCATTATTAAAAACTCAAAACAGTAAGAATTATTCTGATTCAATTCTTACCTTATTAATGTCCTCTAGAGCATTGGTTCCCAAAGATTTTCACGGGAAAACCCCCATTTAATAAAAATGTTTCCCACCACTGCTCTAGAGCTGAAACCAGAAGTCTAGTCATTTTTTTTTTTTTCAAGCAAAAATGACCCAACATTTGGTCTATCTATAGTCCCAGTTTCTTAGTTGTGAGGATTTTCTGCTTTTTTTCTCATGTAATAGTAAACTGAATATCTTTTGGGTTTTGAACAGTTAGTCGGACCAAACAATCAGTGACGATTATTCAATAATGGTAAAACAATAACTGTAATCTGTAGTTATAGTAGTATATTTCAGTTTTAATAAGGCGATTGTCACTCGTGACACGTTCTTAGCTTAAAAAGTTAAGTGTACGAGCATTGACGAAGTTGGAGGTGACTGCAGGCTTCCAACCAGATAATTATCAAATAATTTGCTATGCGTAGAACAGTGCAGCTTACCTGTCAACAACAATGACTGATTTCTTTATAATTTCATAAATGAATCACCTTGACACTTGTCTTTGACTCGTCCTCTTCTTGTTCTCCGATCTGCGCTGTGCTCCCGGATATTTTACCCTTGAACTTTGGAACCAATTGTATCCTGGGTAAAAGATTTATCGAACACGCCTTACTGTGCAACAAGTAGAGCCATCCGCCATGCCCTGAGTCTGCAGCTTGTCTCTCTCGCTCCCTCTCTTTTCTCCCAGGATCTGGCACATTTATACTACTTGCCCACCTGAGTCGTGTCTGGGGAGGAGCCAGTCATGTCCGCCAGAAGGTGCAGACTGGGTTGGTGACAGCATGGGGACTCAGGTAAGATAGGCAGTGTCACCCCCATTGTTAAACACAGTGTCACCCCCTGCACATTTGAATAAAAGCCAGAGGAATGCCTATATATTCTGTCATTATTACCTACAGAGTTTTGTGTAAGTTACGGAGGGTCCTTGGCGAGTTCAGAGGAGGAACTAATGAACGTGAAGCCTTCGTCAGGTTAATGAATAATGCCTTTGGTTAATGTGCATGGACGTTAACCGTGTCCTCTCTGCAGGCTGGGGACATTCCTCTTCATGCGGATCTTGAAGGACGGTCATGATCGCAGGTTCAACAACGTCAGAGACAGCCCAGGGACTTTCTTTGTATACTGGACTGTTCAAGGTACTTGAAGTGATGCAGAAGCATTCCTCTCATTGCCATAGTCCTTAACCAACTTGGCACCCAGATTGCCTTGTATAAATCACTGTCTGGTTTCTAGCTCTCAGTATGCTTGTATTCTATGAAGGAGCTGTTTGTTGCTGTAAGTTCAATGCATTTAGTTCGTGGCGGTATTAAGGCAAGGCTGGTTGAAGATGATTCATCCCCCTCCCCTCTGTTTCTCTCACAGCCTTGTGGGTATTTATGACTCTCCTGCCCACCCTCATGCTGAACAGCGAGAAGCGGGACGTGCCTCTGGGAACGAGGGACTACATTGGCTGGACTGTATGGGGCCTCGGCTTTGCCACTGAAGCTATTGCTGACCAGCAGAAATGGCTTTTCAAGCGTAACCCAGACAATGCTGTAAGTTAACAGACCTGGTGTTGTGCAACCATTAATGCATCGTTCACGGTGTGTAACTGCGGTGAAATTTACTTTTGTGGCTCCAGGGGAAATTCATCCAGAGTGGACTATGGGCTTACAGCAGACATCCAAACTATTTTGGGGAGATCCTGCAGTGGTCGGGGCTCTGGCTCTCAGCCTCGTCAGTGATGGAGGGGCCCCAGTACCTGAGCGTGGTGTCGCCTCTCTTCGTCTGGTTCCTGCTAAGCTTCGTCAGCGGCATCCCCATCCTGGAGAAGCAGGCGGTGAGGAAGTGGGGCTCTGACCCGGGCTTCCAGGACTACGTCAAAAACACTCCTGTTCTCTGGCCATGGCCTAAATTTTGATATTACATTTTCTCAACTGCTGTACCAATAAATACCTTACAAAATGAACATATATGCACATTTGTCATAAAGTGTCCGGTTATTTTGGAAAATAAACACACACCTTTACATAACAGCCCCCTGTGTAAGATTTCTTTGTGGCGTGTCATGACTAAGAGCTAAATAAGTGCATTGTGGTGAAGACTACAGGTTAAGCATTTCTGCAATAAGATGGCGGTTAAGATTCTCATGCAAGTGTCTTAAATTGTTAATTTGACAGTGAGGAGGCCATCTGTCAAACTGAAACCACCAAGCTCCCTGTATGTCTAATCAAAACTGGAGTTAATCTGGATCATAGAAACTCTTTATACCCTCCAACTTTTGGATTCAGGAAGCTAGCGAACAGCACAAAGCATTTGACAAAAGGCACATGAGACATTTTTGTAAAGGTTAGAACTGTATTTTAAAAGTGACATGACTTTTAATGCATGAACTTGTGTACAAAACTTGCACCAATAGTGAATCAAGTAATGCCACGGCAACTTAACTGGCTAATCTTAGAAAGTAATTGCCTCTCGCGTGGGACTGCTCATAAGCGTCCACCCGGAGTACAAACATTACACAGAGCAATAAACATTAGAGAAGCAAAATCATCTGGCAGAGATTACAGCCTGTGACATAAACCAGTAAATATTCCTGATCACTGGCCGTGTTAAACAACTGGAAGTGAAGGTATAAAAATGATGTCCCTGTTCTCAAGAGACTAATGCCAATTGCTTGCAGAAGATCCATATTAACATCTTATAACTACTGGTTGTAGTATGAAAAGGAAAGGGCAAGCCAGCTTGTAAACATTTACAATTCTCTGGAGGATGAAGACAATCAAAATGCAAAAGAAATAGAATACAAACATCAAAAAAACATCAAAGATAATCTTACTAGCAGTCACACACACATTCAATTACAACCTAGAATGAAATGCTTGAGAATCAGTTATTCAACTTCTGAGTGACACATGAGTTGACAAACTGTCTAAAGAAATGACTGAATTTAGAAGCAGGTCACAATAAAACTGCATATACATATTTTTACCTCTGCGCATATTTCTCACAAAGAGCAACAAACGGTACATTCTCATGTGTGAAGAGGTGAACGTAGAATGCCTTGTTAAACAATTAGCTCTAAAGACACACGAGTGTGCATAGATAGGAAAAACGATTTGGTTAAAAAAAACGGTATCCTTTTACAAACACGTAAAAAATAACAGAAATACAACTCTGACTATTGTGAAACACTAAAAAACGATTATAAGAAGACTTAGCGACTGGAGGAGCGGTACCATCATAATAAAAACAATATCTGTTGGTTGTTATCGTAGTATCAGGAAGTGTAGCACAGCTGCTTTGGATTATTTAAGGAGTGGAGACGCAAAGAATTTTCCTTGACGAGACAATCCGACTGCTGATTTGCTCTTGCTCCCAAATCTGCAACATAGAACGCACATAATGGCATTTAATTTAATTAGGAGTAAATAAATCAGTCAATTAAGGATAATGAGATATGGTACAGTAGATTAAATTGTATAAAAGATGTTCAAATGATGTTTTAATATCCATGTTAAACAGTTGTACAACAGTCCTTCTAGAGGTAATTGTAAGATAATTGGACCTCATGCAAGAACAGTTTAGGTTTCATTTGCAATATTAATAGTTTATATAATAAAAGATTGATACTTGACGTCAGTGTATCAATACAATATTGCCCCGCAAAAAATATTGATAATATGCAGTATTCAAAAATGATTGAATGCGGCAAGTTCTCCTAAATCACTTGTACAAGCCACTTAATTAAGAAGAAATCAGTTTGCACGAGTGGTTCTTGCATGAGGCCCGTTGATTAGGAAAGCGTGTGCTTGTGCGTTTACCTGGGTGTCAGACTAGACTTCATGCGCTGAGACAAGGAGCTAGAGGAGGGGGTTTTATTGAACTGGTGCTCTGGAGTAGTCAGAGGTCCCAGCATGCTCACTGCAACAGTACAAATATTGCAATGATACATCAAAGAGCAAACAACTGTGCCCAGACTCTCAGGCAAACACTGCAGAAAAAAAAACACACACAAAGTCTAGTGCGCTCGTACTTCTCTCGGGGGTGGCATAGCAGTTTGCGTTCTCGATGATCAGGTGGTCCAAGTTAGTCGGATAGCTTTCCGCCATCACAAACTGGGCCCAGTAATCCACCGGCAGAGCCAACAGGCGCTCCACAACCTGAACACAGAGAGATTAGCAAGAATGCCAAAGATCAGGGTTATTTCAGTGTGTTGCCTCATCCTCTTCCAGCGCTAAGCTGAATGTGTGTGTAGATGCCCTGGGCAAGACAGAGGGGAATTACTGAAAGAGTTCATAGTACTGTGAGGATGTTCTGAAATAGAGGATTATTTAGCATTTAGGTAGTCTCTGTATGTTGTTGTAGGTCAGCCACTTATTAAGGTGGGTTAAAAGAATGGATTTTTTTGCTAATTAATAAACACAATTAGTTTAAAAAAAATTAAATATATATATATATATATTAAAATCTCATCTACAATTTGCACCTTGAGTTTTGTCTCACAGTAATAATTGTAATTGACAGAAAGCTTTTCAGGAAATTAGACCGTATTTGCTGTGTAAGCAGTAGCCATTGAATTAATTTACATTCTGTAATTAGCTCACTAATCTAACTGGTTAATAATTGTCGGCGGCAGAGTCTGACATTCCTGCATTGCATTGCATTTAATTGCAGGAAACGATGCATGCGTGTACAGCCACAGTGAGCCGTCAGATGAAGAGCTGCAGGGTGACTCACTCCTTTGACCAAGCTCACAGCATGACATCAGACAGCGGTTGCTCATGACATGATGGAAAAAGGGCAGTTATTGGCTGGTTATTTTCTTATTTCTGACAAAGAAGCTGCTTAATAAGTGTTTGCTGCCCCCTGGGATTCTGGGACATGTAGTACTGAACCACACTCGCTGTTACAATCACAACATTAAAGTTCTACATCATTATATGACTAAAGAAGAAACATGATGTGCAATAGACATGATGCATCACTCAGGCTTACCCCGGGTTGTCGTTTGGTATCCTGCAGCATCGTCATGGGATCAGGGTTGGGAACAGCATGACCCACAATAGTAGGTCCAAACACTCGAGCCAAGTTACTGATGTTCATCTTAGTGTCCAAGCTGTCAGCAACTCTGAAAGATTTTAATAGACTCAATTATGTCTCTTTGGTAGATATGAAATACATTTTAAAGTGTATATTAGGTTAAATCAGGCGTAGGCAACCGTAGGCATATGATAGCTTAACCGACAGCAGCAAGTGGCATCTGATTGGCCGGTACTTGTTGCCTTCTTCACAGAATTCGTTAAGTTTATTTGTGATGAAAAGGATTGGCCGAAGGTTGGTTAATGATTTCCACTTAGGCGTGGATGTTTTCATAAGGATGGCAGCCTTCTCGTGTAGCGCTCCAATATATAATCACAATGTCCTAATTATGGGAGAAAAATGTTTCTCTAAAATGATGCTCTGCACATTGCCTATGTGGATGGAATAAAAATGCAGATCTAAGATTAAAATTTTGATGTGGTGTCATAATCCTAATGTTGACATAGCACACTGATTAACAAGAACATTTTGAAATGGCACCGTAAATCAAAAAGGTTTCAGACCCCTGGGTTAAAAAAAGTTAATGACACCGACGCGCATCTTTGCCGAATGCAATTCAACCCAATTAAATTCAGAAGGTAGAGTAAATTAAAATAAAAAAGGTCAGTTACAGAGAGACTTCTGTGAATATCTGCAAATTTCAGCAATGAGCTTGTAGCAGGACCAACAAGGCATCAAAGCACAATGAATGCTTTTGGATATGCATACCTCTAATTATGTATATTAGTATTATATTCAGTACTAACCTCTGAAGGTGAAGGACTAAAAAAGCCAGTGTGTCTCTGTTGGGCTGCGGCAGGTCACTGATGGTTTGGTACATCAGCGCTATGCTGTTGTCATCGTCTGAAACCTCTGAAAGGGAACAAAGGAAACTGTATTTGTGAGCAGAGAGGGAGGCTGTCTGGATTAATTAACAACTTGAAAGCAAATGTATCGGACTCCAGTAAAAATAAATTAAAATAAGACTAATAAAGATTAACAAACTAGAAGATCAATCTCTTTTGTTTGTTCCAGGCAAATTCATGCCTGAGGTTTCCATCACTTCTCAAAACAAATTGCAAAAACAAAATAGAGGCACTTACGTTGGGAACATTTCTGCCATCCATTAAAAAGTTACACAAAGTTTTCAACAACAGCATCTTTTCTAACACCAGTCACACACACACACACACACACACACACACACACACACACACACACACATACATACCGGCTGCCTCCATGAAAGTACGGTTGAGGCGGAAGGTGAGAAGAGGCTCCTTGAGGTTCCTCAGGAAGTCCTTGAGGAGGCCAGTGATGGCATTGATGTCATCCACCTTGCTGAGAACGGGAACCGTTTTGCTGCGCAGGAACTTCTCCTTCAGGTCCTTCACTGTGCGATCCGCACCGGACAGACGATAGAGTCCAGCCTGAGAGGAAGAAATACAATTATTCAATCGGTGGGCATCGGTTTGGCGTGCTGGTTCCCTCTGCTTCCAGTTTTTGTGCTAAGCTAATTGTCTCTGGTCTCCAGCTTTGTACTCGGAGCTGGTATCAATCTTGAGAAAGAAGCTAAGCATAAAATAGAAAGAAGAGACCATCAGCACAGTCGTAAAGCAATCAAGAAATTTGGAGCAATTGGGAATTCAATCTCCCAGGAACAGATTGTCAAATCTTAGTTACAGCTGTCTGTAGCAGCTTGAGGGAAAGACATTAAAAAGGTAATTACTGGGGTGTGAGGCTTTACCAACTTCTACATTTATGCATGTTACGAGGACAGGAAAACACCACTCACCTCATGCAGGCCCCTTTGCTCGATCTCACTGATGCAGTGGACTACGAGAGGTGGAATCATGGGTGATAAGTCAGACACGTAGTCTGCAAGCACACCCTGGGAACAAACGAGAGATGGGGTAATCCGTCAGCACTGTGGATGAAATTCCAGAGTGGAAGCAAACAAGAGAGGAATCAGTGAAAAATGTTCTCACACACCTCTCCAATTTTGACCGGTGTGGCGCCCATGTTGGGGATGCATGGCAGGGGGCAACGCTCGCGACACTCGGGGTGAGAGACCACCCTGCAGTCACGGCACTTCAGTGCAATCTTGCCAAACTTGATCCTCTTTCCACAAGGTACGCACGATTCCGGCTTAATGACCTATAGAAAGACATTTAACATGATTTAGGACACTGGTAAAGATTGTGGGTCAACAGCCACCTACATGTTCAGCTAAATAAAGAACTTACACTTTGTTTTGGCAAATAAACTCAAGTAAATACACTGCCTAAACATGTTTCTGTGCAGATATAAAAGTTTACAAGAGTAGATGATAACAAGGTTCAGCGCCAAGTTTGATCAAACGTATTGGCCTTAAGGCAAAAATACACATTGTTCTAAATACATAAAGTGCTAGAATGTGCTTTTCTAGTCTGATTAAATGGCATTCGTACAGTTTTGGAGACAAACTCGTGAAGACGAACACCCCCGTGGCTCTGCGGAGTGCTGGGTGCCACTTTCCTCTCTCCCTCGGGGTTGCCAGGCTGCTTAAAGACATCCTCAGACTGGACAGATTCAGAGTCCCACTCCATGGCAGCTGAGCAAGAGATAGGACATAAATACCAATGTGTTCGCTGCCATGACCACTGCAGTCATGAGAAGACATACTGTTGAATCAGTGCTGCTACATATTCATGTTCAAGACACCACATTGCAAATAACAGGTTGATGAGCAGTTTCCTCTGATTCAATGTTATTTTGGCTGCAGCACAGCAGGGCCCTGTACAGTTGGTGAATGATGAGCCTAGATTAGTCAGTTCTTCTAAAACAGCTTAAAATGTAAAGCATGCTTTTAATGGATTCTAGCCAAGATTAAGAAAATAATTTCAGGCAGAGTGAAGACAACATTTGACAACAAAAAAGAACAACATAATTGTCCCAAACTAATGACTTATATCAAGTTGTGTTTGAAGAATCAAGTTAGCTGGATGAAAATAAACAAGGTTATTTGAACTGGCTCAAATCATATTAGCCTGAAAAAGTTGGGCCACGTATGAAGAACGGGGCCCATCATAACCCAAGCTTACATAATCCTGTTGTAAAGAAATCTTACCAGTCTTTCTCCTGCTGCGGGTCCAATAAGGAACACTCTCAATGGTAGAAACGGCCTCAACAGGTCCTCCATTCCCAGGGACAGTCACTGTGGTCTTTGTCACAATGGTCTCATTTCCCTGTCACAAATTAACAAAAAAAACAGTAAGAATAACGACATACAACCAGACTATGCAAAGGCCCAACAGTACGGTTTAAGAGCTGGTTACAGGCTGAGAACAAAACATTTGCTTTTCCCTACCCTCTCTAAAGTTCTGCCTGTTGATCGAGACCGCTTGGAGGCAACTGGGGGACCATCGACATGATTTCTCGAGGAGCGCTGAAATCAAGACAGCAGACATCTGTACCTCCAGTGGACATGAAGCCAATCTATCAAACACAAACGTTTAAAGAGAAATGGTGCACATGCACTCATCATACCCTCTTCTCTCTTTTCTTGAGGCGCACTGTCCTCACAGTGGAGGAGTCCCAGTCCTGTCACAGATCAAGCACATCAGAATCCTTGATAATGTATATGATGTGAATTTAACTCTACATGATACTGAGAAGGGAAGTACTTACGAGGGAGTCATCTGTTTTGTCGTAGCTGATATCTGACAAGATGGAGGCGGACTCATCTATCGTAGTCAGTCTATCAGGAGCAACAGAAAGGATGTGTCAAGCCAGTCAGCAGCATTTTATTTGTTATTTTGTCTTTAAAAAAAATCTAAATGGGAGTGCATTTGAAAGTTAGAGTGGGGTTGAAAGTGTGCTGGAAAGGTGCATTCATGTGATAAATAGATGACCAGGAACATTGTACTTCAGCAACAGGTAACGGGGTTTATTACCTTCGGCTGGTATTCAGGCTGGCTGCTGCCTGGCAGTTTGTGTTCAGGAAGGCAAGAGCTGAGCGCTGCTCTGCACTCAGTTGGAGGCTGTTGGAGGATCCCTCACTAATCAGGAGGTCCCGGATCAGCTGAATTTGACGGTCCTGTAATATGAAAATGCAAGCAAAGCACAAATGAGACACTCCTTGAACCAGGTGAATTAACAGCGGACTAAATAAACATGTGTCAACAAAAACAAGGGTCTGCATTTGATCCAACGTACCAACTTCTCACAGTCGGCCTCCGCCTTCTGTCGGCGCCTGATCTCGATATCGACTTGGTTGCGGGCGTGTTTCAGTTTGACCTCCAAGGCTCCCCTCTCCGTCTCTGCTTTGGTGAGCACCTCCTTGCAGGAGCCCAGGTCTTGTTCTGCTCTCAGCCATTTGCGACGACAGTCATCAAAGTTTTGTGCCAGCTGGATGAAGTCTGGGAAAAGAGGATGCACATAGTACTGTGACAGGCATCTGCGTAGGATCCTATGTCTCAAAGGATAGATAGTAAAGATAAACACAAGAATCGTAAAGTACTCACTTGGTTCAATATTCTCGTTGAGAAGGTCAACTTGCATCCTCAGCTTATCGTATAAACTCTGGAGGCCCTCCACAGCAGTCTGCATGATGGTCTATAACTAAAGACCCTTCAAAGAGAGACATTAAGTACAGTTCATTCATAGAACAGGGGTTGCGGTTCTGTATAGATTGGGCTGGTGTGTGGCTTATTTTCAACGTAGCAAGCGTTAAATTAAGACATCTGAGGAAATGTTATGAGGAAATGAGTTATTCTCAAACATAATGGCAACGATAACAATGCATACAAATATATATTAGCCGCCACAGACTCATTTAAATACCACATGTCATTTGCCAATGTGTTTAGTGCAGCTGCTTTCTTTGGTTTCTGTTCTAGCTAGTTTAGCATTTCCAACTGTAATGTTAATACTGAAAAACAACACGGCGGTTATTTTTAGCTCACATGTTAGCAAAGATTAGCTAGCAACAGTTACCTACCGATTCGGTACTGGAGAAATGTTGAGCCGCAAAACCCTGTCGGTGGTGTTTTAACGCAGAAATGTTGTTTCTTTTTCGTTTTTAGCGACCCCCTCGTCGTTCCTTTGCCCACACTCTTCAGCAGCCACAACTGCATTGAGCGCGTTGCATTTCAAATTTCGCCGCTAGCCAATGAGCGATGACCACTGCGCGGATGTCAAGAACTTCCGTAGGCGTATTTTTCGAAATAAAAGAGCCGTAACGGTCGCTCGTTGGCACTACAGAAAAGGCACAAACATTCAGAATAAAGAGAACCAGAAATATCACGAATGTTAAATACTATTTTATAAATTAGCCAACAATCAAAGAAACAAACTGATATAAAATCAAAAAGCAGGAATCAATGAGATGAATAACGTCAGACTTCCGGTCACAACTTTCAAAATACGTTCCAAACCGGCAAATAAACGGTTATTTCTGTGGAAATAAAGACTTTGCAGAAGCAGTAGGCTATTACACATAGTTACGTTGTCTGAGAGGTAATGTGCTGCATCTGTAGCACCGACTTTATCATAAAAACTTTATCATAATTATCACCATATTACTATTTTTGGTCAATCCATCCCTACACATGACAGACATTAACAGAAGTGATTCAAATTTGAACAATTTCTTTATCATTTAAAAAAAACATGATGTATTATACCATGGGTATAATATAGACTAACTGGAAATGTGCATGACTATATATGTTGTATTAAAATGTATCCAGCATGTCATTAAAGGTTCTTTAGAAATTAAGGCACTGCAGAATTGCTCCTCCTCCTAATTAATATACTTACGTATATTATTGTGCTATTGCATATACCAGAAAGTAGGCTATATTATTGTACTTTTACACTATGATACGTTTCTCTGATTATTATATCAATGGAATTAAAATATTGCACTTTTCAATCATAGCACAAAAATATAAATACTTAAGAGTAAAAGTGGCTATTTATAAATATTTATTTTATTTTATTTGTCTATTTTGATTATCTCTAGGAATTCTGGAACAATTTATTTCGCCTGTGGCTACCAAGCCGCCTGTCTGAGCCAATCAATAGTTTATAACAGATTGGAAATATGTGATGACTGAACGAGAGTCACCCGTGCAGAGAGAGAGAGAGAGAGAGAGAGAGAGAGAGAGAGAGAGAGAGAGA